CTACTTCTACTACTACTACTACTACTACTACTACTACTACTACTACTACTACTACTACTTCTTCTACTACTCCTACTACTACTACTACTAGTACTACTACTACCACTACTACTACTACTACTACTAGTACTACTACCACTACTACTACTACTACTACTACTACTACTACTACTACTACTACTACTACTACTACAACTACCGCAGCGGAGGGGGAAGTGTTCGAGTTCGAGTTCGACACGGCCGAGCGGCGCCTGGGGGAGGGGGGGGGGTTCGAGTGCGAGTTCGAGTTCGAGTTCGAGTTCGACGCCGACGACCGCAAATCACGACTAAGCGGAGTCGGGGGGGGGGTTCGAGTTCGAGTTCGAGTTCGACGCCGACGATCGCAAATTTTTCAGCTAGGGGGGGGGGGGGGGAGGGTTCGAGGTCGAGTTCCAGTTCGAGTTCGAGCAGGGGCGAAGTCCACGGAGGCGGCAGGGGGGAAGGGGGTTCGAGTTCGAGCTCGAGTTCGAGGTCGAGCGACGCCGACGACCGCAAATGTTCGAGTTCGAGTTCCAGTTCCAGTTCGAGTTCGAGCTCGACCACGGGCCGGCTCCACGAAGCCGGCAGGGGGGGGGGTCGAGTTCGAGTTCGAGCTCGACGCCGACAGGAACCTAGTACTGCTGCTACTAACACTAGTACTAGTAGTAGTACTAGTACTAGTACTAGTACTAGTACTACTAGTACTAGTACTAGTACTAGTACTACTACTACTACTACTACGACGACGACTACTACTACTACTACTAGTACTAGTACTAATACTAGTACTAGTACTAGTACTACTACTACTACTACTACTACTACTGCTACTACTGCTACTACTACTACTACTACTACTACTACTACTACTACTACTACTACTACTACTAGTACTACTGCCCTGACTACTACTACTACTGCTACTACTACTACTACTACTACTACTACTACTACTACTACTACTACTACGACTACTACTTCTACTACGACGACTGCTACTACAACTACAACTACAACTACAACTACAACTACAACTACAACTACAACTACAACTACTACCACTACCACTACCACTACCACTACCACTACCACTACTACTACTACTACTACTACTACTACTACTACTACTACTACTACTACTACTACTACTACTACTACTACTACTAGTACTACTACTACCACTACTACTACTACTACTACAACTACCGCAGCGGAGGGGGAAGTGTTCGAGTTCGAGTTCGACACGGCCGAGCGGCGCCTGGGGGAGGGGGGGGGGTTCGAGTGCGAGTTCGAGTTCGAGTTCGAGTTCGACGCCGACGACCGCAAATCACGACTAAGCGGAGTCGGGGGGGGGGTTCGAGTTCGAGTTCGAGTTCGACGCCGACGATCGCAAATTTTTCAGCTAGGGGGGGGCGGGGGGAGGGTTCGAGTTCGAGTTCGAGTTCCAGTTCGAGTTCGATCAGGGGCGAAGTCCACGGAGTCGGCAGGGGGGGGTTCGAGTTCGAGTTCCAGTTCGATCGACGCCGACGACCGCAAATGTTCGAGTTCGAGTTCCAGTTCCAGTTCGAGTTCGACCACGGGCCGGCTCCAGGAAGCCGGCAGGGGGGGGGTTCGAGTTCGTGTTCGCGTTCGAGTTGGACATGGCCGAGCGGAGTCTTGGGGAGGGGGGGGGATTCGAGTTCGAGTTCGAGTTCGAGTTCGATACTACTACTACTACTACTACTACTACTACTACTACTACTACTACTACTACTACTACTACTACTACTACTACTACTACTAGTAGTTGAGGGGAATGGGTCGTGCTGGAGGGTGGGGTGTGTCGAACTCGAACTCGAACCCGAACTCGAACTCGAACTGTTCCAGTTCGAGTTCGAGTTCGGGTGGGGTTCGTAATGTTTACGGCGGGGCTCTGCAGTTAAAGGAGTTGAAGATCAAGGGCATAACTAACCCGTGGTTTGGGGGTTCCCTTGGCTCTTTAGCTCCTTATTTAGAAGGGATTATCATCATCCCTGGCTCCTTAGCTTTCCCACTATCAACGGTGAGCTAAGATAGGGGCCTTGCTGCTCAGAACCGGGCTCCTTCAGTCTATTATACTCTACAGCTATACTACGGTTGATGATGTAAATTCGGCATGACCTGAAGGACACTCAAAAATGGGAATTATGATATATTCCTTATTTTGGGTAATACAGGATTTATATCATGAATCGTAGTATAGGGGCCGTAATGGTTACAATAGGGTTCTGGGGGGTCTATTGTGCGTATAACAGTGTGGGGGCCTCCATGGTTTCAAAAGGCCAATAGGCTTTGACACTCCAGTTCTAATACTCTGCAAAGTGAACCGAGTAACCTGCAGACAAACTTAACCTACGCTTTCTGCATACGGTATTCATCTGACCTCATAGTAGTCCCTTCGAATAAATATACATGTTTGCTAAAGCTTAACGTGTGAAAACACATTACTCCAGCTATGAAAGCCCCCTTACTTCCTAAATCCTAAACTCTAAACCCTAAGCCCAAACCCTAAACCCCAAACACAAACCCGAAACCCTAAACCCTAGGACGGACCTCCTGATACAAATCCAGCACTCGTAGCCTGCGACCCGAACCGTACCCCAAGGGTCCAAAGGACCCTTTCGGTTTTAGGATAGTAGCTATGTAGGTTACGATTTCGGAGAGTATATGATTATTAAGTACTTGGACCCTTGGGGTGTATCCACGAACCCTGAACCCGTAAGCGTAAACCTTACGTTTAAGGTTTAGGGCTCAGGGTTTGTGCGGTTCTTTGGGGGGTTCTATAGCGGCGGTTAGAAGGGTGAAAATTTTGGGTTTAGGGATTTCGGGGTTTGACAGTTATCCGTTTTGGAGCGGAATGGGGTTACAGCCCCGAGCCTCGTAGCTGAGACGGCAACGCTTCAGACCCTCCGCCGCACCACAGTGCCAGCAACGCAACGGGGAAGCCTGGTGTAGCTATGTATGGGAAGCTTTAAGAAATGGTAATCATTCAGTCCCCCCTCAATCATACAACTCGCTAAACAACACAACTAAAACAACTTTCTGGTAATAGAGACTACAACAGGGGTGCTAGCAAGTCCCTGCAAGACAACGGTCTATTCGGGCTCGGTGGGGCGGGCCTTACCTAGACCCACTTTCTGTAGCTCCTTCTTTTGGTGACGGCATGACATGACTCTTAAGAAGTATGGGCGTGGTGCCTACCTTTAGGCTGAGACATCTGAGGCGACGTGCCTCACGAGCTCCAGAAAGTGTTGCATGACTGGTTGCGTGGCAAATCATAGATATAGCGGTAAAACACAGACAACCGTCTGAAGATGTGCCAGGCTCGATGTATCCTTGACTCTCCCGCTTCTTGCACGTGGCCTTGCCAATATCCGCTACCATCGTCATCATCCAGACAACACGTTTAAAATCACTCAATACCAGCGATACCTTATTTAGGGGTCCTTATTAATTATAAGGATCCTATTGAAAGTACTATATTGAGGTCCCCTTTTTCGGAAACCCCCAGCATCTAGAGCCATGGAAGTGAACCTTTGGTGTCCAGCGCTTGTCACGTAGCCGTTGATCCTGGCTAGCCCTCGATCCTGGCCACCCTAATAAATATAGGGGCCTTAATACTTAAAATAGCCTTTGGGGGTATATTGTACTATAACTATACTAAGGAACCCCCCAAAAATAGCATGGGTAATTATTGAGGCCCCTCTAAAGTAAACCCTTAAACCTAAGAGAAAGGAGCCCAAGGGTTGAGGTACGGTTGATGATATAAATCCTGCATTACCTTAAGGACCCTAAACTATGGGAATTATGGTATATTCCTTATTCCGGGTCATGCAGGATTTATATCATCAACCGTAGGGCCGGCCTCCGGCAGAATGCGCTTCAGAGGTCTTGGTCCTTACGGAAGAAGCTCGAAGAATAGGACGGTCTGGCATCCACGATTCCGGGGTTTGGGGTTTTAGGGCTCAGGGTTTAAAGTCTACCTTAAACTACCAAACCCTACTTTTTTGTAGGTTCTTATTATAAACCCTAATATGGAATTTATAGGGACCCTACAAAAAAGTAGGTTTTGGTAGGTTAAGGTAGGGTTTGGGGCTCGGGGTTTCGGGTTTGCGGCTTGGGGTTGGTTTTTCGGGCTGCAGGGTATCGTTTTTTTAGGGTTTGAGTTTAGAGATTGGGGTGGAGGGTTTCGGCTTTGATGTCAAGGAATCAAACCTGGTCTAGGCCTTAAACGTTTTCGGTTTGAGTTTCAGACTGCATATATAGGCGGCAAAATCGAATCTCAGATGGCGGTGTTGAAGGTGGCCTGGTGGGTTCTCGTAGCACTCTTGTAGGATGCGAAACGTTGTTAAGGGTCTGTAGCAGGGTCTTCATATGCCTACAAGTGCAAAGGCTCTAAGGCAATACAAGTACCACTCACGGAAGCATAGTACGGCGAGAGATTGAAAAGAGATTTGAGGATCAGAGAACTTGAACTTAGTATGCAGCTCATATTTTCAGGGTAGTGGTACCACTTCGACCCACTTCAGACCTAAAACCCTAAAACCCTAAACCCTTAACCCCTAAACCCCTAAATCCCAGCTTCTAGGCGATTTAGGAAATGCCCTGAAACTCCAGCCAGGTTCAGGTCTGAAATGGGGGTGTAGGGTTTAGGGGTTCAGGGTTTAGGCGTTTAGGGTTTTAGTCTTGATCATGTACACTGTGCTGACCATTAATACACTCCCCCGCCGCTGCCGAACGATTTGCCGAACAAGTTGGAATCAAAACCACGGCACGACAGTGTGCAGCAGTAGTTACTATGGAGGTTGAGGGCTTACGATTTGGTGACTATGGACGCAATACAGGGTCCTGAGTAAGTTGTTTACCTTGGGGTGCTACCGCTTTGCGGCTTTGGTAAAGCCACCTTCAAATCCAGTCAGTTGCTCACTACGAAATGTCAGTTTGCCCAAGACCCAGAACTTTCGTCACATCTCTTTGACCCCTGTTGCCCAGTGGCGACGCTGCCAAACGGACCTCAGTTAATGTGAAAGGGAATTTCGGGCATGACTTCACCGAGATGTGTCCGAAAGGCTGAATAGAAGCTATATAAGGTAGCCTTAAACCCCTAAACCCCTAAAAACCCTAAACCCTGATCCTAAATCCCGAACCCCCCGCGAAACCTGATTCTTCATCCCTGGGCCCATGAGCATGGTTCCCTCAAAGTACGAATAACAAAAATATGAATCATTGGCCTGAACCCTTACTTACCCCTAAACCCTAAACCCTAAACCCTACACCCTAAACCCTAAACCCTAAACCCTAAACCCCTAAACCCTAACCGAATTCAGCAATGAAGTTGCTCCACGCTGCGCCGCTTTTCGGTAACATCAAGACTGATGAAGATACGATGACTACGTAGGAGTATAGTGGGAGCGCACACAGGGGCCGCAATGAACCCCAAACACTGAAACACCGAACCCCTACAGCATTGCACCCCGAACCGATACACCAGTAGAAACCCTCTTCTCATGCCACGGTTACGGTTCTAAGGTCCAACATGTGGCTGACATTTTGCACTTTGCAGTCGGGGCATCTTGTACTTTTAGGGGGGATATAAGGAGGCACCCAAACCCCTAAACTCCATAGTGAGCTCTTGCAGAAGATGGTCAAGCTCATCAGCACTAGTACCACTAGGATCAGACTCCGATGATAATCTTGATAAAGGGCGGGGTCCCTACGGAAATTCTCATTTGGGGAAGGATTCCAATCATAGTATAGTCATATATGGGTTTAGGTTTAGGGTTTAGGTTTTAGGTATAATTCTTATTCCGGGAAGGATTCAGCATATAATCCTCGCTTAGACAAGGGTTGCTTCATCAGGGGTCTGCAGCATTGCTTTGCAGGGTTTGTAGCTCCAGCAGTCTCCATCCGATTTCCGAAGGTTCTGCGGACTTTTAAGCATTCGTTAGGGTAAATACCTCGGGAGGTTCGCATGGACTTAAACCTTTGAGAGTGGCTCAGGGCTTGCGGGCACACTGTGAGAATGCCTCATGCACAAAAAGCAGCTGCAAAACGCTGAACGCGATACCGGCGATACCCAATGTAGCAAACGTCTACACCAAGCCCTGCTTCGTCGTGGGACCGCATTTAGAGTTTGATAAAAAGACTACAACAAGTAGGTTGGAGTAGTTCACACAAGGAATCCTGACCGCAAAGCCTAAGCCCTGCGCCCTCCTGGAGCCAAGAGCCCGACAAACTCTAAACCTGAACCCTGATCCCTAAAACCCCACCAAAAGTCGAGCCCCTAAACTGAAAACTCTCAACATCCCCAAGACCCTACACTCGGCTCTAAATCCTAAACCCTAACAAGCCCTAGACAACATCCCGCAACCCTATACTCGGAGTCAGGGTGCAGCGCCGCAGCCGTGTCGGCCCAGTTGGGCAGCGGCACGGTCTCCACCTCGGAGCGGGTTCTTCAAACCTAGGTTTCCCATGTGATCCTTAATAATGATATGGGTGCACGCTTTCGTTTTATTCGTCTAGGAGACCTGGGCTAAAACAGAAGGGCATCATGAGGGTACCAATACGCCTAAAAAACAGTATCCCCTGTAGCGTCTTTCCGCCTTGAGGTTCATACATATGAGCATTTCGCCCACAGCTAGCGGATCTTTACTTTACCTACACCCTCCATCTACCCTCTATTAGACCCTAAATGCCCCTTATTTGGGACCATATACCCCCATTTGAGGGTACAAGGAGGGTCCTGGTACGGACAACTACATCAGGGACCCCCGACTTTTAGTGAACACCTATAGCCAACGCCGGTTATAACCCGAAAATCTGGGCTGCCCTAAGCCCATACACCCTAAAACCCTAAACCCTAAACCCCTAAACATTAAACCCTGGACTCTAAAGCCCAAAACCCTATCTTGGGGTTCCGGCCAACTCAAAGGTCTGCATCAGCTTCTCCTGAAACTTCTGCGACGCAGTGTCTCCACTCCTTGGCTTCTTTTGGGTTGGGGCTTAGGGTATTCCAAAGGGCTGCAAGTTTGGCGGTTGAGATGTTCGGATCACGAATTGGCCTCGGGTGTTGGGGCGGTCACTTATAAGGGCTTGGGTTTGGGATTGGCGCTGCCCCAAAAAACAACACTGAACCCTACGCCCGACATGGGGCTGAGGGTTCGGGAGCCCCGATCTGGGTTGCAAAAAACAGATGGAAAACGATGCCTCTACAAGGGTGGTTGTCAAAATTATGGCCCTTTTGTGTACCCTAAAAATTAGGTGCCGTATTAAAATGAGGCTCCAAAAAGGGACCCGAATTTTGACAACCACCCAGATGGAAAACGATGCCTCTACAAGCCTCTTAGACACAGACCTAACACCAAAACACGCTCTTCATCATAACCCGTGGGTTTATGCCAAAGCCATAGCTCAAAAAGCCCTACACCTTATAAACCTCAAACCTAAACAAAAAACCTAAACCCTAAACCCTGCATCCCTAAACCCTAAACCCCTAAACCCTAAATCCCTAAACCCCTAAACCCTAAACCTTCAACACGGTTGCAAAGCAGCACCGGACCAATTCTTGGGGGTTAAAATCTGCACCATTCCTCCACAAGTCTCAACACAGCCCAGAAACTCAGCGGTTTATGGTTTAATGTAGTGGCCTCATATAATCACTTATGGTTTAAAGCTGAATATAGGGGCCTGAATCATTAGAATACTTCCCCTACAGTAGAAGCCAGAAAGTTGGAATATCATTATCGTAACCCCTTTAAGTTAAATTATAGGGGATCCTACCATTAATCCATATTCCAACTTTCTGGAGTTCCCTGTATAGTGAGTGTTTGCAGCTTTAGTGAAGCGGCCACTCCCCGACGAGAAGCACCTCGGCTGTGCCAGCAAGACCGGCTCTGGTTCCAGGGGTTCGGTTTAGGGTTTAGTGCTTGGGGCTTGGGGTTTAGGCTTAGGGCTTAGGGTTTAGGGCTCAGGGCTTAGGGTTTAGGGCTCAGGGTTCGATAAGGATTAGTGTAAGGCTCTTTTAGGGCGAGAAGGGCTACTATAAAGGATCACCGTAAGGCTTCAAAAGGGTTTGCGGTTTAGGGTCTGGGGTGAGGGTTGAGAGCTTCGGGGGACGGGTCGGCGGAGTTGAAAGAAGGGTTTAAAGGCAAACCCCTAGACCCTCAATTTAAAGCCCTTTTACATCCCGACGATACCCTTTCATAGTATCCTTACAAGACTCACACCCTGAAGACTAGCCGTTAAACCCTCTCGGCAAACCAATACATGCACACCTACATATACATATAAACATACATATACATATGCATAGACATAGGCATATACATATACATTTTCGTATGCATATACAGATACTCATATACTTACATATACCTTTGCACTATACCTACACACATGTATATCTATATCCATATATCTCTATATACATATGTATATATATATATATATATACACACATGTGCATATACATACATACATACATACATACATACATACATGTACACGCATATGGATAAAAATATCTATTTGATTGCAGACTTATGTTTGTTTGGCTGCTTATTTGTATGCTGAAGGAAGAACTTATTGAGCAATTCGTGTATTTTTGCTTATGTCCTTATGCATTGAACTACCGCTTTTGTATTTCAACCCTAATGGATGGCGTCTGGGCGTCTGATGATCTTGACCTATCGTTCGTGGCTTCAAAATCCAGACCCGGTTTCTGGTATAACTGTACATCCGAGCTGCTGAAAGGGAGATTCCGCAAATTTGGGGGTGCCTTATTCTTATTTTGGGGGTCCTTATAATGAGGATCCTACTATCAGGGTCCCCTATTTTCGGAAACTACCAAATCCTGAATCCTTACATGGCTGTTCCGGGCATGGACCCGAGCCACCCACCCGAAGCCCCAATCCGCGAGGCTCCAAAAAGAAACCGATGTCTCCAACCATTCGGAGATTCCGAAAAACCCCTAAACCTTAAACCCTGGCCCTAAACCGTTCTAAACCTTAAACCCTGTGTGGGAGCCTCTGGCAGCATTCTAAGAGCCTCCGAAAAGGATTGAGAGCCTATTCAGGGCTTGTACAGTGGCGATTCGAAGCGCTAAATTAAGACCTTCTGGGAACTTTTGGTAGCTTCTGGGAGGGAAGCCACGTGGCAGCTTTGTGCGGAGTTCGCACGGAAAGCATGCACAAACGATGGAGAACGCATTCTGGAATGAGTGCAAGCCTGTTTACGCGAAATGCATGCATGAAAACCCCCATGCTACACCATGACCCTAACTCAGCAGAATAGGCTTGGGGCACAAATGAAAATGAAGGATTAAAAAGAGTGTGAAGTAAGTGTGGAGTGATACAAAAACACGTGGTGGTATACAGTGGCCTTGCACATCGTTTCTGGCCAAGCGGAATTTAACCCTATTATAATCCATATAAACCAGAAAATCCTGAAGACCTTATACGGTAGTATTTCGGGTTTCCGGCTTAGCCATGTGGGGTTTAGCGCTGCAAGGTTCAAGTCTTAAGACTTTAGGGTTTCTGGCTGTGATTACAAAGTGTAGTGACCTAATGGAGACCCAACACGCATGCCTTTCCTGAAAAGGCTCGGATTTAAACCCTAACTAAGATCCTGATTGACGGACGAGAAGCGGGGTTCTTGAGCAGCGGTCTACATATGTTAATAAGTAAATATATATATATATATATATATATGTATGTATGCGGATTTGGGGCAGTTTCGAGTTTACAGGATGAGTGAGGCTAGGTCAAGTTTTGGGGGCTAGGTTTTGCCACCCGGTCCGGTGCGAAAAGATGAGACAACAGGGCGTGTTGATCTTCCTTGCCGTATCATCTTTCAGAAACGGCTTAGGCTCAAGGCTCATGGCTTCAGGCTTACAGGGTCCAAACGGGCAAGTTCAAGGTCTAGGCTAGGGCTGGAGCAGCAGCAAACATAGTGAATAAAAACTCTTAGCCCTGAAGGTCTTCTTCCAGATAGGAAGTTGTTATAACAATACGCTTCAGGGATACGGTTCCGTTGCGGTGGTTGGACAAACGTGCTGCTTTCGGATGTCATGTAGGAATGACGTGGTTGCTATGTTGGTGACGGTTTGGGCTACGATTTCAGTCACGGTTCTGAACTGACTCCCCGGGGCATCAAACGCAATCATCTTAGCATCGAAACGCAACAGAGTCGTATCCCGACCTCGTGTCGTAAAAAAACCCGAACTGCAATGGCACGTCTAAACCGGACTTCGTACAAATCTTAACAGCAAACCTAATCATACCGCAACCCAACCCAGAACCGTATCGCAAATTGCTCCACGAATCCAGGTTGGCTTTATGACATTCTGATGATGATATGTTACCATTGTGCGGCGTTGATGCGGTTTCTGAACGCATGCATTCAAGCTTTATGCCGTCCTTCGTCTGTTTCACATGGTAAAACCGACCCGAAGCCACATCCCGGTAAGATTTGCGGCAGCTGGCACAGGGCACCCATGACGATTCGAACTCCATTTTCCAAAATGACTGCCGGCAGGCCCCGGGCCGAAACTCCTCAGTCTGTGTAGTCTATACGGATTTGAGTTTCGAGATGTCAATTTCCATGATGGTCCGTTGTACCTGACATATCACATCGGCTTGGATTCGCGCACGGCGTACTCAAATGTCGATGCACATGCCATAGGACGGAGATCATCAGGGTTTCACAATTTCATGCAGGAAGTGAGACTTGCGAACATCAACACCTTCATGCCATCAAATGGTTCGTGCATCTCGGTGCTTGGAAATTGTCTGCCGAAGCGCTATACACTTGATTCAACTACTTTTGGCACCTCGCAGTGAACACATGCCGTGATCCATGCTTGGTCATCGCCGAAATCATAAATGTATGTGCCAATCTGCTTCTTCGGCTCCAAGTACCACCATTCGTCAACTTCAACGTTGCATGACAATCTCTCCGAACCCTAATTAAGCCGTAATTCCCGCGATCTGTCAAATTCTTGGCCGCACGGAGATTGCAGAACCATGGCATGATGACTATTGATGCAGGTGGGCGTGATCACCAACGATGTCAGGGCAGACTAGGTGCAGTTGGGTCCCATATTCGTGTTGATAAATCAATCCCTGCATTAATGGATGCACAGGGTAAGCGGTATAAGGCCCAATTCTTTTAAGGGGAGTTTCACCTTTAAGACCAGCGGTTGCTTGGGATGTCGGGCTTGGTGTTTTGAGCAATACCCAATAATACTCATGTCCGAGCTTGCCCACTGCCCATGCACGGTTGTGACACACTCAAATACTTAAACTGCCCATCTGAGGCTTGGATAACATGTAGCACATGGTCTGCACCGTAAACGTTGCCAGCAGTCCAAGACTAGCCTACAAACACAATATTTTACGGCTCGCGATTCTGAGCACCTGGTATTGTGTAGCATCTTTAAGGCCGCCCCACCCCCTCCCATTGCATGGTATGACCCCTTCCCCCTGTGGGCAAGGGTGGTGCTGGCTTCATCAGATGGGTGGGCTTGCTGTTGGTTGGGCTTGCTGCCTTCTCCCTGTGGGGGGATGTTGGCCGGGACGTGCATGGCGGACCTTCTTGTCTCGCAGATTGCCATCTCCATCCTCCCCCCCCGTACGTTCTCTCTGTCAGCCCCCTGACTCAAGCCCCAAGCCCTGAAACCTACACCCGTTCATCACTGCATCTCTGACCAGGAGCCCGGTCGCCCGGGAAGAAATTCAGCACTTGAAGCGCCATGTTTCCTGTCTTGGCGGTTTTAGGACTGCGGGTTCAGCAGTTGTAGGCTTTAAGGCCCAGCGGTTGAACTTAACTTCTTTGGGGGGGGGCAGGTGCTAGCATGTTTGTTGTCTTTTTGTTGTCAGGTCAGGGTTGTCCCCTTCAGCGGTTGTCGGTTTCGGGTTTGGCGGATTTGACCTTTATGATTCGGTATGCTCGGGTTTACGGTTCGCTCTCAAACCACACCAGAACCAGAACCCAACAACTTCAAGCCTACAGTCTGGACAGGCAAACAACTTGAAGGGTACCTTTTGGGAAGTGCCCCCGCCTTGTACCAGTTGGATGGATACATACTATATATATATATGTATGTATGTATGTATGTATGTATGTATGTATGTGTATATATACACATATACATAAATACGTATATATCAGTAATATGTTACACTCTATTTTGTTAGGTCATATTGAATATGTTGTACTATGTTATAGCTTGTTATACTGTAGTAGATTATACATATATATATATATGTACCCATATATATATATATATGTACGTGTTTATAATATACATATTCATAATACAACTAACTGCACAATTATGACCCGAATCTTAGACTGTCACAGAGCTCGGGGCAGTACGGGGGCTGCCTTTTTCGTCAAAACGGTGCCTGCGTCCGTTTGGCTCCCGCGGTACCAAAGAGGAAGTCCGTGAGGCTCAATGTATATACTAGTATACTTTGTGTGTTATTGACCAAAAATATAGATAAACATCATTAAGCCAGTATGTACATATAGACAATGTACTTATACACATGTGTATATATATATATATATATATATTTATACATATTTATCCGGGATACAAATACTGTTATACATACATGTTCATCTGCTCAAATTTCAACAAACAAACGTGCGCATATTCGAGTGCATATATGTCTATGTATACGTATATATGAATATGTATATATATATATATATATATGTATGTATATATACATACGTGTATCTGTGTGCATATATATATACATATATATATATATATATATATATATATATATATATTGTTTGCATGTACATCTGTATGGTGTATGTTTGCATGTATGTTTGCATGAAGGCATGTAGGTGTGTAGTATGTGCATGTATGTACGTCCTCAACCCTTGAGGTTTCAGGGTTTAGGGCTCATACGGCTGAGGGTTGTGATTCATTCCGGAAGCAGCAAACGCCGAGCGCCCTCATCCCATCGAAGGCAGAAACCCACAGCTCTACCACTCTCCTTACCTTTGGTTTGTAGGGAATGGAAGGGTGGTAGTAATGCGGTTGATGATATAAATCCTGCATTACCCACAATAAGGAATATGTGGGAATAAAGGCATATTCCTTATTATGGGTCATGCAGGATTTATGTCATCAACCGTAGTAGTTATAATTGTACCCCCTTCTTCCATTCCCTACTAACCAAAGGTGAGTCTCCGGGGACAAGGCAAGAAAAGCTCTTCGTTCTGAGAGCGCTCGAAACGATCCCAACATGACAGGTAACGAGACTCGATGCCCGAAATACTTACCTTTGGTTAGTAGGGAATGGATGAATGGGGTACAAGTATAACTACTATTGCTACCATTCTTCCATTCCCTACTAACCAAAGGTAAGAATACTACAAACCTCAAAAACAACACATGGGGCGAAAACATAGCCCAAAAGCATTACCTTTTTATGGTCTTCGGAGTCTTCGGGCCCAGAAACCCCTAAACCCTAAACCCTAAATCCTAAACCCTAAACCCTAAACCCCAAACCCTAAATCCTAAACCCTAAACCCTAAACCCTAATATTCTGTAGGAGTCCTGAGAGCTCTAAGGAACCATGCAGGGAACCCAGCGTTTAAAGAAAGGGCTCCTGGCGGCGGGTAGCACAGGAACAGCGCTGATCCTCACCGAAGCGGCTACTGCTAGGAATTAGGATTAAAGGTACCCTTGGGGATATAGAGCAAGGTTCCTTTAAAGGGCTCCCTTAAAGGGATCTGTAAGGGGTTTTATGATGAGGCCGTCTCAATAAGCCCCTTCTAATTATGTAAGAGAGCCATAGGGGGCTTTTTGTTTAGGGGTTTAGGGCGATTTAGGGCTCAGTGTTCGAGGGTTTTGGTTGAGGTTTCGGACTTTGGGTCAAGCGTTTAAGCCCAAAGCCCTAAACCCTGAACCCCAAACCCTAAACCCTAAACCCTGAACCCTAAACCCTAAACCCTAAGCCCCAAATTTAGGTCCGACTTGAACTACGACGTGCCGGCGCTTTCGTCAGGCCAGGGGTTCGAAACATTACTAGACTACCTACACCACTTAAGGGATACCCCAAAAAGGTTTAGGGTTTAGGGTTTAGGGGTTTAGGGTTTAGGGGTTAAGGGTACTATAAATTATAAGGGTACCATACAAAATTTTAGGGTTTAGGGATTCTGGTTTGGGGCTTGCAGGTTGCTAGGGCGTTCAGAGGTTCGGGTTTGTGAACTTTAGACCCTTAAATGTAGTACCTTTTTCTTGGAAGGCTTATCTTGTGGTTAGGATCCTGCAGTAAGCAAATAACGTAACCAACAAAGCTTACTCGACTGAAGGGTCTGGAACCCTGACATCTCAACACCCTCAAAACCCTAAATCCTGAGTCCTAACTCATGTACAGGGCTTGGAGTTTAGGGGCTTCCCTATTCTATCAGTCCAAGGCCTAACATATCTATCAGTGCAAGGCTTAAGTGAAAGGACAAGCATGGCCAGACTAGGTTGAAATTATGTTAGCTATGAACATGCTGCAGAACCTCAAAGAATCGCAGAAAACCAAAAACACCTAGAATTTGCGAGGGCCTTTTAAACAACACCTCGTGAAACCCCTCCAGGGAAGCCCCCTTCTAACCCTTAAACCCTAACCCTAGACCCTGAACCCCTAAACCCTAAATCACCCTGAACCTCTAAACCCTAAAACCCTAAACCCTAAACCCCTAATTCCCCTAAACCCCTAACCCCTAAATCCTAAACCCCTAAAGCCCTAAACCCCAAAACCTTTTTGGTATGGCGCCTGCATGGTTCGCCGCGGCCTCAGGCCCACCTTCTTTTGGGTGGGGCTTCGCCTTCCGGGCGTTGGGTTTAGGGTCTAGGGTAGGTTGGTAGGTCCAGGACTTGTTTTTTTCTTGGTGCTTTTTGGGTTTACAGGCCAACTGTAGAGTTTCGGGGTTTCGAGTTCGTGCTTTTGGGGGGTCTAGGGCAGCTAGAGAGAGAGAGAGAGAGAGAGAGAGAGAGAGAGACAGAGAGAGATATATATATATATATATACTTATGTGACTTATGTGTATATATATATATATGTAGACAGAGAGAGGGAGAGAGATGTAGATTTTGCTGCACATATATATATATATATATATATATATATATACATATATATACATATATAAATATATAGACATATATACATATACATATACCTAGAGATGTGTGTATATATATATATATATATGTGGTTTATGCGTACCATATACATAGAAAGATAGAAGGATGGATAGGCAGATGGATAAATAGGCTAGTAGACATATAGACTGACAGATAGATACATAAATACATAGATAGGTAAATAGATAGATGGACAGACGGATAGATATAGATAGACCCAGACAGTTACATACAGGCAGATAGATGGACAGGCAAAAAGACAGGCTTCGTGTACTTGGGTCTTCGGGAGTTGGAATCATGGTTCCGGGTTCATCCCATGCCCCTACACCCTAAACCTTTTTGCTGCAGTTGAGCTAAGTCTGGAGGTCTCTATCCCAAAAGGTTGATGGTTTAGGCTGTAGGTAGGGTGTATATAGGGTTTAGGGTTCCGGGTTGGGCTAAGTCTGGAGGTGTGTACTTAAAGGCTCAGGGGACTTAGTATGTCGGTCAGAGTCATGTTTTAATTGGGACAGCTACATGAAGGGTACTTATAACTCTGTATCCGAAAAGGTCGAAGTACTAACATAGTAGGTACCTAGTCTTATTTGGGGCCAAAAGTATATACTGTACTAGTACTTGAACCCTTTGGGTATGATCCGAAACCCCAAGCCGCTGACCGTAAACCCATTGCCAGACTTCAACTACAGGAAGAGCTTTCTCATCGGCGTCCTTCGGTGCGTCTGGCTTTTTTCTGCCAAGAGTTCACACAGAGTAAACAAGGTATCGCACATGAACTGACGAGAGGATGATTCTTGAAGTTTCCTCAACTTTCGTGCCATAGTGATTTAGCAACATGAAACGCACAAAAAGCCTAAGCCCACAACAACCACAAAACACCACCAACCTATAAACCCCCCGTCAAGACATCGAAGGCACCCGCTTGGCCCCGACGGCCTCTCTCCACCCTTGTCCAGGCTGGGCTATGGCCGTGGTACTCCTCAGACCAGCATTTGGGCATAAGGGGGTTGGGCTTGTAGAGTTGCTTTTAGCGGTGGTTCCTTGTGGTCTGATAGCGATTTGTGCTACGGGTGTCGAATCACATAACCAGACAGCGTGGCAATTGCTGGAGTTTTCGACATGCTTCAAAGAACACTTTTTGGTGTTAAGGGCAAACAGAGAGGCTTTCTCTTAAGAGTTACAAAAAACTTGGCGCTACATGGAGTTTCCCTCAAATTCATACATGCGTCTATGCCGAAGTTCAAAAAGGAACCCGAAGAATGCACACCATGTTTCACTGGAGACTCTGACCACCTTTGGTTTAAGGCTCTGTACTCAAATACCCGATTCTATCATGCTGACTATATAAGGCTTTTGGGCTGCTTTGAGTCTTGCATGTCGCTCAACTTTCATACGGTTACATAGGAAATACTCATACCTTTACGACCAAACGAACTAATTTCGTAGGAACAGAAGGCCTTGTTACTCCGAACAAAAATGCAATCCCTGAATCAACCCTGAACCCTAATCCTTACCAGCATACCCATAGGCCCCATAGTAATTCCTTGTTGGGATCACCTTTTAGAACTCTAAAGATGAACCACCAAAAAAAAGGAACTACCATGGGGCCTATGGGTAATGACCCTTTATACCCTGATTAGGAGCCTCTGAAGTGTATTTGGGCCCTTTACTTCGGGTTGTAGGCTTTACTAGGTGTCGATTTCAACAGTCCCCAAAATTATCTATGCTTAGGGCTCTACAGCAGACAGTAAGAGAAATCAGCAGTTATCCTAAAATGATACCTAAATCAGGTCTGGGGTCCAAGGGGACGGCTGTTTCGAGGTGTGGTGGGTGGGAGTTGCATGGGGTGGGGTGGGCTTTGAGGTTTATTTGCTTAATGTAGTGACCTTAATAATTAGAATAGGGTCTTGGAGCCCATTATACTACAATTACGACAAGGAACCCTCAAGATAGCATCGGTAACTATGTAGGCCCCTATTTTATAAAAGGGGCTGGTTCGGTTTAGGGTTCGGTGCAATGCGAAGCCTCGGCCCCTGGTCCTGGTCTTGTCATATGGGTGGTTGTCAAAATTGTGGCTACTTTTTTGGGTACCCTAAATATTCGGTGCCGTATTTTAATAAGGACCCAAAAAGGAACCCTAAGATTGACAACCACCCATATAGGAGTTTCCAAAAAGAGGGGATCGGAATATAGTACCCTACATAGTAGGATACTTATTATCAAGAGCCCAAAATAGGTCGGATTTTCGGAAACTCCTGTATGTATCCGTAGCTCCCGGCGGGGGAGGGTTGGTGGCAATGTTTGTCTAAACTCTCTATGGCAGGCCCACTGAAGGTCGGAAATCCTATTCGCGCCAACGAAGCCAGTCGCGGAAACAAGGTTGCAAAAAGAACGAGCCGTGACAAGGACATCAAGCGTCATCTTTAGAGTTACTGTATACATGGCTTTCAGGCGGTTCACGGCTTCAACAAGACTAGTGAGCCCAGGTTCGTTGTCATCCCGTGCCAGACGGATGTCGTAGGCATGCACCACAACGGAGCGGCGCCGCAACATGTAGGCCCAGTACCTTCGTTCTATCTTCGTCTTCTGATTCTGGCAGTGCTCGGCTCGACTATGATCACTGTTGCGATGCCCACTCTATTCCTCGCCCGGACTGGCAATGCAGACAGCGAGCCGCAGATAGATGTCGACGTGTTGGGCTTCATAAGTGGCGCCAGTGAACAAACCGACACGACTGTCGTAAAACGAATTACATAGAACATGTTACAAATAAACTGCACCAACTACACATGCAGAAACTAGAAATCTCAAGAAGAACCCAGCGAACTGTCTTCTGGTTCAGGGTCTTGGGGTCTTGTGGTTTGGCGAGCTCCAGGTTACCCAAAGGGTCCTAGGTACTGTTATGGGGGATACTTCCCTAAAGCATAATAGTAATTCCTAATATAGAAACCCTACATTCTACCATACAGGTACTTTGGACCCTTTGGGTTAGTATATAAGGGTTGAGGATACGGCGCAGTCTTAGTCTCAAAAGATTTAACGGATCAGGCCCACGGCTTAGGGCTTAGCCCGAAGGGTCCAAAGGACCCAATTCAATACTTGGGTACCTAGGTTTCGGATAGTACAACGTAGAAACTATAATTCAATGATTAGGTACCTATAGGTTTCGGATAGTAGATATGTAGGTTACTATTTGGGCTAAAACCTAAACCCCTAAACTCTACCTGGACCCTCCATCTACCCTCTATTAGACCCTAAATGCCCCTTATTTGGGACCATATACCCCTATCTGAGGGTATACAAGGACGGTCCTGGTATAAACCCTAAACCCAGAGACTCCAATAATATCCCTTAACTGAGGAATATACCTTAAATTATAGTAGGATCCCTACTATGATTTGAGGTATATTCCTTAATTAAGGGGTATTAGAATCCCCTAAACCCTAAACCCTATAGATCCCTTATAATAGATCCCTTTAAGGAACCCTATAGATCCCTTAAAGGAACCCTATAGATCCCTTAAAGGAACCCTATAGATCCCTTAAAGGAACCCTATAGATCCCTTTAAGGAACCCTAAGGAATATTCCTTAATTAAGGAGTCTAAACCCTAATTAAACCCTATAGATCCCTTATAATAGATCCCTTTAAGTCTCTGGGAACCCTGAACTCTGGATCCGAGCCGACTGCCCAGTTCCCGCGCCGATCTCCAGCAGCGGGGCTTCCGCGGCCAAGCGCCGCAGGGCCCTCTCCGAGGGAACCGCGTAGGAGTAGAGGTGGCCTCTGGGTTTCGGGGTTAGGGCCTTGATAGGGTTTTGGGTTTGAGGGTTTAGGGGTTTAGGGGTTAGGGGTTTAGGGTTGAAGGGCTTTAGGGGTTTAGGGTGTAGGGTTAAAGGTTGGGGCATGGGATTGCGTAGGGGTTTTGGGCTGAATCAGAGCTGATTCGGGGCTTTTGGCTCAAGCCTTGGGGTTAAGAGTTAAGGGGCTTAGAGATTTATAGGGTGTAGGGAGCCGCCAAAAGAGCCCCAGTAAGAGGGGGCCTTTTGAAACGAATCTTCGACAAGGGTGTTTCCAATGTCTTGACGGTTTCTGATTAGAGTTGGGGGTTCCCATCGTAATGGCATCTAAAGGCTCTATACTATATAGGGTTTGGGGTTCAAGGGGCTGTAAACAGGGGCTTACGTTGGGGTGTCGAAGTTTGTGTGAGGATTTCATGTGTTCAGGGTCTTTCGGGTTTACTCGCACTTCCATTTCGCGATTATTTGCAAGTCTATCGTGTGGAGTTGCGTTCAGTCTACATATGTCTTTATTGAAATGTCGGTGAGTCTCAAGCAGCAGTATTCGGTAACAAAGAATGTTAAGCCTTCTGGGGTCTAGGTCCTGAAGCTTTACCCGAACCCAAAACCCTAAACCCCTAAACCCCTAAACCCTAAAGCCTGAACCCTAAACCCTAAACCCCTAAACCCTAAAACCCTAAACCCTAAACCTCTAAACCCTCAAAACCCTAAAACCCTAAACCCCTAAACCTCTAAACCCCTAAACCCCTAAACCCCTAAAACCCTAAGCCCCTAAACCCCTAAACCCTAAACCCCTAAACCCCTAAAACCCTAAACTCTAAACCCCTAAACCCTAAACCTCTAAACCACTAAAACCGGCCTAAAACCCTAAAGGGCTTCAGACCTTGAGCAGTTGGGGCTTTGGAGTCTAGGCAGACGGATCAGGATTTTGGAGCATTCTGAGATCTTCCCAGAGACTACCTGTGGATCCAAAACCTACCGTTTTAGGGTTTAGGGTTTATTATTAATTTTTTTTTAGGGTTTAGGGTGAAGGTTTAGGGTTTAGGGTTTAAGGGTCAGACCCTCTAATTCAGGGGTCATAACCTCCTATTTTGTAGGGTCTGTGGATACAGGTACTTATTATTTCAGGATGCTAAAGGACAGAAGGACAGCAAGCACTCGACAACTTAAACCGAACACAAACCACTCAAACCACGAACGAGAAAAGCTGATAACAGAATAAACATATCTATGATAACAGCGGACATACCCTGAAGCCCCAACACCGTTCAACCCTCGTCCGCAATTGCCCCCCCCCCCCCCCCCCCAAAAAAAAAAAGGTCTATTCCCTCAATCAAAACCAACGCCATGCAAGGAACCCCCTAAACTTCACGTCTACCCCTACAAAAATCTTGAACAACGCCCTGCGCAACTCTAAACCCGCTTTCCCCAAAACGAGCTTCTAGGCAAAATCGGAGGCCGCTAACCCCTAAGCCCTGAAACCCTAAATCCTGAAACCCTAAAACCCTAAAGCCTAAAGCAGACTTTCACCCAACAAACTTCGACCCAGAAGCCCTGCAAAACCCATGGTAACATTTACCTTCCTCCTCGCGCTCCCACCCCATGCTGCTGCCCCACACTCATGAGAAGCAGGAGTATAGGTTTAGGGGTTGTAGGCTAGTTGTTTAGACAGGGTTTGAGGTTTAGGTTTGGTTTTGGATCTGGGCAGGGTTGGTCAGCCCGAAACAAAGTACTGTTAAAGGGGATACTTCCCCAAATCATATATGAGAGCATTCCTCATATAGAAACCCTACATTCTACTATAAAGGTGCTTCGGACCCTTTGGGAAGTTAAATATGAGGAATTAGAGTTATGATTTGGGAGTATTCCCTATAACAGTACTTCGGACCCTTTGGGAAAACTCGGCCGAGTCACAAGCCCACACTCTAACGGAATCGCGCCACTCGCGGACCAGCTGGCTTGTCCTTCTGCAGAGCATCCGGAGATGGGATCGGCTCTACTTACATGCTTAAGGGACTTAGTAAGTCGGTTATAAGTCCGGTTACAATTGGGGTAACTCCATTTAGGGTACTTACAACCCTACTTATAACCCTACATATAACCTACTTACTAAGTCCCCTGGGCCCCAAGTAGTGTTCGGGGAGATGGTTCCTTTAATGGCAGTAATATAAGGGTTTCGGTTCGGGCTCCAGGACTCGGGAATTTGAGCTTTCTGGGGGCTTGTCTCGGATTTAGGGGTTTAGGCTTCAGCTTGCTAGCTCGCGTCCTTGACGCACAACACCCACGTCCTTGTCACCAAAGCCTATATCAAACCCTAAACAGCCAAAGCCCTAGATCCTTTGAAGGGTCGTTTCGTTCACGCGTAGCAGTTAAGTACAGCTACTGGTCTTCCGCCTCGCCAAGACCGTTAAAAAAGCGGCCTTAAACTATTAGACGACAGTGTTGCGGGGAAAAGCATAATGCTAAAATATTCACAGTACCCTAGGGCCCTAGGGATCAAAATAGCGTCTTTGGGCCCAAAAGCCTTAATATTTGAGTCCTTAGATCCCTAGGGATAGGAACCTTGAGGAACAGTATCCCTAGCTTCTACATAATTTGAGGGCCTTAGACCTCCGGGCTCAGGCTTGATGGCAGGATCCTTTAGAAGCTGTCCCCACCCTGTAATAGTGACTAAAAGGATTATAGTAGGGCCCTATTATATTCCTGTTATACCACTATTACAGAGTGGGGGCCCCTTCTGAAGGATCCTCACCTTAGGGCAACCCCATACTTGAAAACATGCCAGATGAATGGTTGTCAAAATTATGGTCCCTTTGGAGGTCCCTAATATACTACGGCACCTACTATTTAGAGTACCCAAAGAGGGACCCTAATTGTGATAACGACCCATATGACCTGAATAGGCAGACTGGTGTCGTGGAGCAGTTATACCAGAAATGGAAAAGGAAAGCCTGAACTACTAGTCACTCAAGACCCCATCTGCAACACTTCTGCAACCCTAGTAATAAGCCTTTCTTGTAGAACCCTCCTCAAACCCAAACCGTAAACCCTAAAAACTCTTCTTATAGAACCCTCCTCGAACTCAAACCCTAAACACCAAAAAACTCCTATTATAGAGCCCTCCTCAAACCCAAACCCTAAACCCTATAAACTCTTCTTATGGAACCCTTCCCAATCCCTGCCCCTTTCATCCGTGAGGCAATTTGGGTGGTTGTCGAAATTATGGTCCCTTTTGGGGGCTATATTTTAATGCGGCACCTAATATTTAGGGCTCCCAAAAAGGGACCCTAATTTTGGCAACTACGCATTTGGGTGAGTCCTGGGGTCGGGGCTCTTCATGGTGTCTCCAGGTGGCCCATCGCTGCAGTCGCCCAAAGAGGGGAGGAGATCCGCTGCCGCCCTTCCATGGGGGTTTAAAGTAAAAGCCAGAAAGTTGGAATATGATTATCCTAAACCCTTTATGGTAAATTATAGGGTATTCTACCCTGAAACCATATTCAACTTTCTGGAGTTCCCTTTAGGGTTTAGGGATGGGGTTCAAGGCATCGCTTCCTCTGAGGCCCAAGGGACGTAGTAAGTAGTTATTCGGATTCGGGGTATCTCCATTTAGGGTACTTGGAGCTCCGGTTCAGGAAGCTTGATGTTGTTGGGTTCCGGACTGTTTAGGGAGTTCGGCGATGAGATTAGACATGTTTCTTGGTCTGGTTGAATGCCACAGTTGTTCTTGCATCGTAGCGGTTACAAGCATTGCAGGTATCGCTGGGGCTGCTGCCTGTACTGCTGCTGGTGGTGCAATGGTGAGCACCCAAGCCTACAGGAAAAAACAACTTTGAACCCTGCTACCTCAAGTGGATGATTCGACTGTGGGGAAAAAACACCGATCTACGCTAATTATCTCTTCAGATCCACAGGGGCACCCTAGACCTCACCGCAAAACCTAAAACCTTTGCCATGTGCCATACTGTCCAAAGGCTACACCTGAGACCTCATCTACGTCTCATAAAACCTCGTGTAGACCTCAAAAGAAGACATTACTAGATCAAGCCGGGGAGCATGCCTGAAGAGCCCCTTAAACTCAACCCTTATGAACAAATGCAACAATTATTATGTTGAACCTCTGTAAAGTATGGACGCCACCAAGCTGCAGAAGGGCACCAGATTCCACCCAGCGCGTTTGCAGCAAACTTGCAAGAGGGTTCTCCTCTGGCCACGGGTACTTTTCAGGGTTACGCAGGGGCTCCGTCAAGCATATTATCAGGCGACCACCCTAAACTTTAACCTTAAACCCTAACTGCACAAAATCAGGGCCTTACCCTCCTTTTTTGCTTTAGGCCGAGGCCCTCGAGAACCTCTCACACGAAACCTTCGGAGCCCTCTTAGAGTCAGAGGCCCTGTAGAGCCCTTGTAGACACTAATCCTGCATACTACGAATACTACCTATAGTCTCCATTGTAGTTCCTTTTCTTGGTTAGCCAGCTTTATGGTTAGGATCCTATAAGAGAGATTTTGGTTAACCAGAAAAAGGAACTACAATGGAGACTATAGGTACACCCTCAACCCCAACCTGAGGGCCCTAAACTCTGGACCATCTGCCCTAAACTAGGCCCTAAACCCCTTTAAACCTCAGTTCTTAAAACCCTGAGTCCTTAACCTTAAACTGCCTTAAACCCTAAACCCCAGAACCCTCAACCTAAACCCTTATCGAAACCTCCCAGCGCTCTCCTCAAGAGACTCTCCAAGCCCAAGCATCTGCCCCGCTTCCGCTGCAACCTGGAACCGGGGACTTCACATTACCTTAACCTAGATCCTTAAAGGTACCGTAAAGGGATCTATAAGGGGATCTATAAGGGTACCTTAAAGGGATCTATAAGGGCTCTATAAAGGGTTTAGGGTTTGGACTTTCCGAAAATTAGGGGTACCTTCTTTTGGGATCCTGAAAATAAGGATCCTACAGTTTAGCGTACTATATTAGGGTCCCCTATTTTCGGAAACTCCCAGATTTTCGTAGGGTCCCTGCAAATTACATTGTTGGGATTATCATGACAACCTACCAGAAAAAGTAGGCTGTGATAGGATGGCGTAGGGTTTAGTATTCTACGATTTATAGGGCTTAGGGGTTTAAGGTTTGAGCCTATAGGACTTAGGATTCTACGATTTGGGGTTCAGGGTTTGGTGCAATCTAACAAAAAGTCGAATGCGAGTCTGTCGTTGGTAGTTTTCGTTGTTTTTCAGCTGAGTACTGCGCGTCGTATTTGTTGCTTAGTACATATGTTTGCCTGTTTGGTCATTACTACTATTGTATGGTAAGTTGTCGCGTTGTAGTCTTCTGATGACTGCTTTGTTTTTGTGCGTCCTTCTGTTGCGTTCGTCGTTTGGTAGCTTTTTTGCTTGCGGCTTACATGCTTGTGTTTGATTTTTTTGCTTGGTGTGTTCGACTTGGGAGTTTCCTAAAGGTAAGTAGGTAAACCTTCTTTTGGGGTCTTTAAAATCAGGCTCCTACTATTTTAGGGTATTGTATTCCCATTTGGCAAACTGTTGAAAGAATCGCTTCAAGCTCGGTTCGGGTTCCCTGCTTGGCGGCGCAGGGGACTTAGTAAGTAGGTTATAAGTAGGGTTATAAGTGGGGTATCTCCATTTAGGGTACTTATAACCCTACATATAACCTACTTACTGAGTCCCCTGCGCCTCCAAGTGATTGCTTTTTGCAAGGGTCGTGACCAAGGCCTCAAGGCTCTATAAGTAGGGCCCTACAAGGGCTTTAAAAGGGCTTGGGTTGCGTAAGGCCTTCAGTGTTCCGGGGCATACGGCTTGCAGGCTCTTAAAGGGTTCGGGGCTAGGGAAACTCTATGCCAAACTTGTTCTTGTGAAAATGTACTGGTGAGGGTTTTGGGTTTAGGAATGTCTAGGGTCTAGAGTTAATTTAGGAATTGAGAGCTCGTTTAAGCCAAGGTTTGCTAGTAAGTAGGCTGTAAACAATGAAACAAATCGTAATGGTAGTGGCGCAACTATCGTCTTTATCGATGACGACACACACACACACACACACTCGACCTCCAGTGATGGTAGTGATGTTACCAACCTTCTGTTCGCGAGTCTGAACCTCCGAACCCTGCACTTGAATGAACACCGCAAGCCCTTCCTGAACCCCCAAAAGCCTACATTTGCGACAAACTCTATACCGGACATCACACTCTATACTGGACATCACACTCATACTGAACTTAGAACCCTGGCACAAATTATCATTTTAGCGGTTTCTTAGGGATTATAAGAACTAAAAAGTAAAAATTGTTTCTAAGTACCCCTAAGTAAAGTGCAGGTTTCCGGGCTCCGGGTAAACAGAAACTTCCCGAAACCTTAAAACCTCGGACCTGAACCCAAGACCCTAACCCCCAAGCCCTAAACCCCGAATACCCTAAACAAACCCCCGCTACAGGAACCCCTAAAGGAACCCCGAAAGGAACCCTTAAAGGAACCCTCAAAGATCCCTGCAAGTAAGCCTTAAAGGAACCCTTAAAGGGTTCAGATGGCATTCGGACCGAAAGGAACCCTTAGAGAAACCCTTACAGGAACCCTTAAACATGCCCGTAGGTAAACCTTAAAGGAACCCGTAAAGGGTTCATATCGCATTAGGCCTCCGTCCCTGCAGCTTCGGACATCTGCCGCAGAGTCCGCTGGACCTGCACCCCACAATCCTCACTCCTCAATTCGATGGTTGTCAAAACTATGGTCCCTTTTTGGGTACCCTAAATATTCGGTGCCGTACTATACTAGGGGCCCAAAAAGGGACCATAATTTTGACAACCACCCAGTTTCGGGTTTAGGAGTTTAGGGATGATACGGTGATAAGAAGCCTTATGTAGGGGCTTCATGATGATATGGCATAGTGCCGTTAATTTCGACGAGGAAGCTGCTGCATGAAGCAGTATTGCCCAGCAAACCTTCAGTTAAAGGCCTTCAGACAGCCAATCGCCGCAAGCCTACTTGAGATTCTCTGTTTCGGCTGAGAAAGCAACCCTACAGTGGCCAACGACGCACATAAACTTCTTGACAAACCCGTCTGAGTTTATAGATCGTTGAGATCATCGAAGTACGCGATGCTGCAACTTCTGGACCGTTCGGAACATATCTTAGCATATGGAAATGTAGGAACATACTTTGGCTAAGACACACCATCGCCGGACGGCAGGAAGGAGGCAAAGTAGACATGAGGGGCAGGCACCTCGGAGAGCCCGTTGAGGGCCACAGTCGTCCAGCTCCCCGTTTACTCTGTATTGGGGCTCACACTGATATTACGAACATACAACGGCTCGGTACGGTAGAAGATCTAAAACTCCACATAAAGCCAAGTTGGGGGCGCTGGAATCTTCTCCAAAGCTTTGTCATTTCTTGGGTACCGAGGAGACCTGCACTAAACCCTAAACCCAAAAATTAAACTGAGGCGCGGTTTCGGTTGCAGGCGCGCCGAGGAAAGACGCGCAGAGGTATCGCAGCCGGTGATACGCCTTGTCGAGGCTGATGATCATTTTGACCTGGTACCCACTTCCCAAAGGGTCCAAGTACAGTAGCTGTATGCTAGACACATGTGTATAGCTACTTAGTACCTGCTATTTTGATACTCGGACCCTGTAAGGTTTTAAGTCTCCAATTACGGTTGTAGGGTTCATAGTATATACCTGCAGTCTCCATTGCAGTTCTTTTTTGGTCAACCAAAATCTCTCTTATAGGATCCAAACCATAAAACTGGTTAACCAAAAAAAGGAACTACAATGGAGACTATAGGTAGTAAGTATTCGTAGTATGCAGGATCAGTGTCGACAAGGGCTCTACAGGGCCTCTGACTCTACAAGGGCTCCAAGGTACGGGTTCAGGGCTCAGGGCTTTGGGGTCCTGTGCTTTCGAGTTCAGGCTCGCGAAGGAGTTTAGACCGGCGGGAGGATCTAGAAAGTAGATCCCCTAATTTGGGGCCCTACACTACTATGGGCACTTTATAGTACTTTGTAGGAACCCGCATGAAGGGATCTACTTTTTGGATCCTCCCCAATGGTCTGGGTTGAGGGTACGGCTCGAGGTCTAACGCTTACAATCGGTACTTCAGTGCTATGCATCACTACAATGCTATAACATGTCATTGCTTGTATACCTAGCTATCTACACATACGTACACACACATACACATACCTGGTCACGCGCTCCGCGCCCCCCCCCCTCCCCCCCCAAAGGACAATGGTCCGGATATAGGGTGGGACCCCCCCTCCCCTGTGGTGTGGGGTGTGGGGTCCCTCTTCCCCCTGTGGGGTGGTTGTGGGGTTTTGGGGTTTAGGGTTTATGTTGAAGGTGTTCACCCTGGGTGGCCATACCCTGCAGCGAAGCTCACGCAGAATGTTTTCTATGGCTGGGCGCAGAGGCGACTCACGATCTCAACGAAGCAACAAGAGAACCGACAAACCAACAAACGACCTGTACAGCTTTACAAGTTGTTGGTTACAGTACACATGGCTCAAGAGGCTTTCCTACGCAGCCTTCCCCTAAGCCAAAGGATACAGGAAACACACATGTACAAGCCTACCTGAAGGAAACTATACAAGTGCCGGCAATCCCTTCAAGCAGACTACACACCTGTCTAACCTGATACCTGGGCATGCAGTGAGAAGCATTTCAACACTCCTCCTTGCTAGAGCCGACAGGCAACTAGCACACGCTGCACTATTTACAGCATGCCCGTTCCTGGGACCTCTAGCCTTGAACCTTGGCTTGCCTTTAGAGACCTGTGCGGTGGCGGTCTCTGCAAACACGGCACAAGTTGCGGGTAGTTAAGGGTGTATTACGCCTTAAACCCCAACAATTAGAATCTAGATGAACACAATCCCCGTGCGCAGTGAAGTAAAAGGGACCTTGGGGAAGTTCATACTGCGTGCGGATTTCGATCCTGGCAGGCATCGGATCTGGTGGGACTCCTGTGACTGGTTGGAAAGCAGGCTCACGATCCGTTTGAGTAGACTGCTCACGCACTGCAGGGCGGCGACGAGACTGTGTGGCCTTGGGCCGTGGTGCAGCAGGCAACTCGTGGGAGGACTGCGAAGGCACAGGTGCCCTCTCGTTGTGAGCTGTGGACTCACCTGCTGGTGGTCTGGAAGACACGTCCTCAAGACTCATGCCCTGCAGTTGGGCAGCAAGCTCATCCTCAACAGCTCTCTGCATACGCCTCAAACGACGGGCTCGACGAGACGACGCATGCGAACCAGCCCACCACGCATCAAGCCGATCCCACAATCTCTTCAACCACTCCCACACAACAAGGACACAAACCAATGCCATGCCAAGAACGAAGTAAAGCTCCAGGGATCCATCAAGCTGCAAGCCGGGATACTCGGATTCACGGCTCGAGCTTCGCACAGGTTGGATCTGAAGCAAACACAACAAGGCACTCAACGCGACTGGGTCGACAGCTGCTGACGAGCTCGGCCTGACCTCTCGGTCGGCTGTATCACCCGCAAAGTCACGCATGCCCCATAACCTGACAAGCTCTTCAATCCTTGCAGACGGAAGAGGTTTGGTCAGTAGATCTGCAAGCTGTTCCACACCCGGGCAGAAGGCAAGCCTCAGCTTCCCAGAGCGAGTCTGCTCACGAAGGTACTCAGCTCTTACCCGTAGGTGTCGCGTTCTCCATGATCCATGACCGTCAGAAATCGCAAGTGACGCTTGGGAATCAACGTGCAAAACCCTTTCTTCCGCAACGTCAAAACCAACCGTGTGAAGCAACGCCTCAATTGATTCAAGCGCGATTGCACACTCAATCGAAGCAGTGAGTTCACTTTCAGCAGTAGAAAGTGTCACAAAAGCTTGACGCGCCGACCTCCAAGCAACTGGACATCCATGCACACACACGCACCAGCCTCCATGTGAGCGAAGGCCTTCTGGCGAGAAGCTTGCGTCACTCCAACCGTGAAGTTGGGTTCCGTCCGCCTCAAACACCAGCGACGCTGTCTTGGTTCGCTGCAAGTAAGCCAAGGCACGGTCAGCAATGCGTAGAGCACGACAAGGCGCCTTCGTAGACAAACTAGCAAGCAAGCTGGCAGTGAACGCCAGGTCCGGGCGAGTACGTTGAGACAACCACAGCAGTTCACCAGTCACCTGTTGCGCGCGGTGAACGGCCTCCCCGTCAGGGGGGCTGGAGTCTCCTTCGCCAACTTCAAACGACGCTAGCTCCCGAGGACAAGGGATTCTACCCCTCACGTGGCAAGGTACCTCATGAAGCCGCAAGACTTCTTCTGCGTACGACTGCTGTGAGAGAACAAACCCACGAGGAATGACAATGATGTCCACGCCAAGGAACTTGATCGGCTGCTCTGGGGTAGCTACCACAAACGGTGTTGTGGCCCACTTTTCTTGCAGAGCCTTTGCCAAACTTTGAAGGACACCTAGCGACCCACACAACAAGAAGTCATCAACGTACACCAACAATGCGCCCTCAACGCGACCACCTTCAACCCTGACGACTTTCCACCAGTTCGGGTCTAGGGTCGAAGGCTCAAGCCGGTAGGTCACGCCGTCAAGGTCCCACACCAACGCTGCCAAACAAGCATCTCGATACTGTCCCCACAAGCGCGGGGCCTCTCGAAGGCCGTAAACCGCGTGGGATAGTATCCACAGCTCATGTGCAACTGCAAGACCAAGCTTGACCAACAAGCGGGGCGGGGTCAACGCAAAGATGGGGAAACCTTCAAGACAAGGAATAGGCGTTTTGAGGAACGCGCTGGTGATATCCAACACTCCCAACAACCAACCAAAGAAGCTTGCCAGGGCAATCACTGTTCTCAAGCTCTCAGCCTGAGCACCTCCAGCATACACATCCAAGCCTGTATTTGGCGCCACATTTCCGCAAGCAACAAGTCTCGCTTTCCGACGGTACAAACCTTGGCCTTGCGACGAAGCCTTTGGAGCGCCCTGAAGGGCCTCTGTACTGACGTCGGGCTGAGTGAGCGCAAGCTTTCCAGTGTCACCAACAGCTGCTGCCCCTTGGTCGGGCGGTTTCACTGTGAACACAAACTTGGAAGGTACCACCTGCAGTCGAGGATCACTCAAGTACTCGGCCTGCCTGGGGTCTGAAGGGCGCAGTCTGAGCACCGCATGCTCAATGGCCTTTACTTCTTTCTCAATGGACGGAATCCAAGGGATTGGATTGAGTGCGACTTCTGCGGGGTCTACAGTGTGAACGATTTGCAGAGGTGAGCTTAGATTGCTTAGAAGGTGTTCTATGTTCTTCGTGAACGTCGGTTCGGCTTTGCACAGGCGGTAGGGGATTACGGGTCTACCTTCGCTTACGAAACCCTCCTCCTCTAACGAGCTCCGCGAACCACTTTCTACAACCTTAAGCACCCTCAAACTGCAGTTGCTGGCGTTTGCGGCATCGCTCATGGGCTCCTGCGGAACATACATGTCCCAAGACACAGTAACCGGCCAGGCCTCATCAATCTCAACGGGTCTTTGGTTCTGCTCTGGTCCGGCCTCCTCTTTAGAGGGGCTGCATACAGGGGCAACTGGCCGATACGAACACGACCAGTTCACAGCGAAGTCTACAAACCCATCTGCAACTGGAAAGACCTCTTGCCAACCACCACCTTTGTTGACGGGTTGGCTCTCCGGGAAGCTAGGGTGTTGATGGATAGGGATCTCATGAGCCTCAGTGGCCTCCTCCTCCTCCTGTACTTGAGACAGACGCGGGGCCTGGAGATAGGCGGAGTCTGGGAGAGGAAATCCCAAATCTGCTAAGCCGTCAAGGTCATCTTTTTCGGCCTTTCCAAGCACGTCGGAAGTGTAGCCTATAACAACGACGCGGGTGCCCTTGAAGGGAGTTACGAAATGATGCCGCTTAGGATCAAACTCGAAAACTTCATCCTCTTCAAGTCTGTGCACCACACCGTGACGCTTGCGACCTCGTGCATCAGTGTGCTCTACAATAGACCCCCTAACAACATCCCCACTACCTAACTCAACCCAAAGATCGCCCCCACGCTTAGGAAGACACACTGGTAGGATGAGATTTGTAGTTCCCGGAAGGTTGGAAGAATCAGTGTGAATGTCCTTTTGACACGAGTTGGACAGACACACCGACGTGAAGGTAGCATCAGGTGCGTGATGCTGCAACAGGCGCGCGCACAGTGAGGCAAGCCACGGCTTACTCCAAGTCGATCGCATACAGCCTACTATCCCTCCCCTACGGAACATTCCAGCTTGATACTGCTCTTCGGGGTAGGCTTGGCAAACTTGCATGAGGAGATTCTTGGCAGCCTCAGGATCCCATTCCTGCAGCAAAGTCTTTGCGCCAGCTTCAAGCTCAGACCACGTCCATGAGCCGAGCTGGGCAGCTCTCAGCTCTGCTTCTGGCGGGGACTTTCCTACAACGCGACGCCTTACAGGGACAGACTCGCCCTCAAACTGCTCAGGGCACTCAGGAGGCTCAACAACCTTAGTTCTCACGTGCAGCGACTGTGTGAACCCATTGCCTTTGCCATCATCCCTGTACACCAAA